CCATATCTCAAAAGAATTAAAGATAAGGGAAAATGTTATACAAACAGAATTTCAATACAAAGCAAACAATTTACAAATTGACTGAAATTCAATTAAAAGAAAGTGCAGTGGATCAATAAAAACACAACCATAATAGAGAAAATCAGGCTCAAAATTGGTACAATCACTCAAAGATTAAGAAAAAATCGATTTTTTTTTTTTTTTTTTTTTAAGTACAACAATTAAGCATAAGCTACTTGATCTGAAATTTCATTTGTTGTTGTATAACAATTAAGCAACCCATAATTGAATTGATTGTGCAACAGAAGTAAGTGATCTGAAATTCCATGCTGAGACAAAAAGGCAACATAAAAAGAAAGAAGAGAGAGAGTGAGTCAGAAGAAAAGAACCGTGATGAGAGTAGAGGTAGGCATTCCTCCAGGAGTAGATGTGATCGCCTGGATTCAGTGTCTCCTTGCTCACCTTGTTCGACAGTATTCCCATCATCTCCCTGCTCATCTTGTTCGACACCATCTCCTCTTCCCTCTCTCTCGCTCTCTTACCCCAGAATCCAAGATGGCCGGGCAGTTTCATTCACTTTATTTCTTTCCCGTACAATTTGGTAGCTCTTAACGGCGAAGTTTCATTTTGGGTACACTGTTCAAATTTTTATCTCAATTTATTTTTCTTTTATTTTTTGACCAGCGAGAAAGTCAAAAGAAAAAGTATAAAATATCTTTAAATTCTATTTTTAATTACGATAAAAAAAAAAATTGTAAAAATGAGAACACAATAACAGAATCATATGTAAGAGTTGAAAAAAACATTGAGGTGAACTTTTCATTTCTTTTATCCGTGAACTTTCCACTGATGGAAAATAGTTTCAAAATTAGTATTTTTAAAATTTGAATCCACTTTTTAAAAAAATAAATTTTTTATTCTATGCATTTTTTGTTTTTTTATATTTTTTATTTGTTTTATTATTTTATATAAAAATAATTTAACAATTCCTACACTAACAACTATCATCAAAACAAAGACAATTTTACTTAATCCGCTCACTATCAATCCCCTCACAATGAATCCCCTCATTCCATCTCTGAAAAACAAACAGGGCCTAAGTTTGTTTAGTTTTAGATTTTTGGCTAAAAGAGTATAAATAAACAAAACAACAATGATTCATCCCACTAATTTAGGAGTACTAATTGATCACTAATGAGGTGAAAATTTAAAAAAAATAAAAATAAAATAAAAAAATGCTAGAGGTCCTAAATTTTCTACCAAACAAATGATCAAATATCTCACACCACTTTAAAGCTATTAGTGCTCCTCTTTTTAGTGGTCTCATTCATTTTTTTTTTTTTAAAAAGGCAGGATAACACTGTGGCAGTAGATGGAGTCCACTGTCACATCATTAGAGCTATCACTAATTAGTGATCTCAAACATTTTTGTTTTGCCAAAGTGAAGAGTAAGAAGAAAAGGAGTGAAGCGGGTTGACATTCTTGTTGTGTCTTATGGTAAAATAGCATTGTTATGAAGGTTTGTAGAGGTATTTATTGAGTATATTTTGATGATCTGAATTGTTCGTGTCGTAAGATTTGTCGAATATATCATTTATATAAAAAATCAAATGAATCGGACATTTATAACTCCATGATTAAGTCCTAATCGTTTTTAAAAAATTATTAAAATCATAGAAATCGTTTATTTTTTGAAAAACAAATGTGCTCTTGTTATGAGATTACAAATGTCCAATTTACTTTATTTTTTATATGAATAATCTGCTTGACAAACTTTACAATATGAACGATTTGAATCATCAAAAAAAGACTTGAGACACGCCCTCAAAGGGCCTCACAACAGCCTGCTGTAGCAGGATCCCCAATTCCAAGTGAAGCTCATCATTTTGTATTGAGTCTTGAAAAATAATAAGTATAGTGACGGGGAAGAACATTATAAAATTTTTAGGTCACTAATAATTTTTTCAAAGTGCGATCTTGTTTAAGAATATGAGATTTTAGTCAAAAAGCAATTACAAAAGGTTAACACATTTTTTTTATTTTTTTGTATGTCATTTTGTAGAAAGTCAAAAAATCACTAAGAAAATCAATTATTATTTACATGAAGACTCCTTAAATTATTAAAAAATATTATTTTGACACCTTAAACTATAAATTGATTCTTTAAACTACTGAGAAGTATGACTATATCCATAAACTGTAAAAACGTATACATAAATCTCTAAACTATCATTACACGGTCTTCTCAATCACTTATAAACTTACACTTTTTCAATAACTACTAGTTACACACAAAAAATCTCTTTTGCTTCTCTCTAGAATTTACTACCAGGACAGAGGGAGACGGCAGTGGTTCCCCCACCTCTTCAATATCCCTCAAGTATCACTTTTCCTCCATCTAATCCTTCTCAAGATCCAGTTATGTTTACCTCACCAGTTCGGCAATCACCGCATTACATTCTTTACCATCAAACCCAAAAACTTTAAAATTTGGTTTCAAATATTCTTACAGTCCGAAAGGTCGAAGCTGGACAATGCTATTGTTTCACGCTAAGCGACTACCTCAATTTCAATGTTCTATCTTAACCATCAGATGTGGGGTATTCATATTCCAAGTTGAAGGTTACGAATATGGGTGCTTAATCAACGGGTTAGTCAAATGGCCTCCCATCCATCATCCGTCTAAATTTAGGCAGATTAGAAAAAATAATCCGTATCTATCCATTTAATTAGCAGATACAGATTGAGCGAGTCATGCAGATTGACGAGTGGATGCAAATTAGTTTGGTGATTTGGGCTTCATTGTTTTATGTTTTTTTTTTATATAACTATTTTAAAGCAATTTTTTTACTATTTTTGACTTTATTTGCGTTCCAAAATTTTTTATTCTTTATTTTTTAAAGGCCAAACTTTTATATTTCATAAATAGATAATATTATTACTAAATAAAATGTCGTTGTTTTAATATACAAAGCATAAAAAATATAATATCATTTTCTTAAAGAGGTGGCGGATCATGTTAGGTCGGATGGCCTCTCATAAGCCATCTATCAGAACATAGGTGGATTTGAAAAATCTTCATTCACATTTGTTCGCCCACACTATCAAAACCTCTTAAAAGTGAGTGGATTGGATTAAGTCTGTCGGTTTTGGCAAATCGATCAAATCTGTACGCGTCTCTAGTTACAGAGCATTGAAGTTTTAGATGAGTTTGGTGACAACTTTGATCTGGTTTTTTTTTCCCTGTTTGATTCTTTTAATATTTAGTTTGTTAACGTAATAATCCTTCATATGTAGAGGTTTTTTTTCTGCCCTTGTTGGGACATTTTATCTTTCTCTATCAAGGCTTACATCCTTTGTTTTGTGGAGGTTTTTTTTTTTTTTTCTTTTTAAGATCTTGTGATATTGTTATACTAGATCGGTCCGATCTTTTATCGGTTTTATAATGAAAATTTTACTCCTGATCTAAAAAAAAAATTAATTCTTTTTGTAAACGCTGATTAATAAATTGAATAAAAATTAAGGAAGAAATAGTTTATTCACTCTCCACAAAAGTAATTGAGAAGTTGACATACAATTTTGGAATGATTCATTCATTTTTGAATGAACCATTTTACTCATGATTTTATTCTTGTGGGGATATGTTTTTGGGTTGTTCACGTGGTCTAGATGGTTAGCTGAGGTATCACGTAGGGTGGTCTTAAATTGCTGAGATATGATGCATCTGAGATATTTGGATAAAAGACAAGAATCCTAGATGATATCATACTACATGTGTTGGGTAAGAATGGACTCTTGAGAAGGTTTATTCTAATCTAAATAGGGAAAGTCTTGGATAAGTGATATCCTTGTAAATGATAAAGTCCAGTAAGATTTCTAGGGAAAAGTGGGCACTGAGGCACCCTCATGGGCTTAAGGTACGCTTTACTTTGTGAATTTTGTGATCGAGTTGTTATTTTTAAGAGATAAGTTTGTTTACTTTAGTGTCGGATTGCCCTTCGGGTGGACGAGTCACCAGTGTTTGTTGTCTTTTTATGTGCATATGTTGGGTTTTTCTATTTTGTCGCGTGCTCTTCGACTTTATTCTTTAAATCTCGACGACGATATTCAATTGGTTGTAAGGTTAGATTTCAACACTCACAATTCTAATTTTTAAAGTGCCATTGTTGATGGTAGGGCTGGGCATAGGGTCATCCGACCCGACCAAACCGCACTACCCGATCCGAACTGCGCATGTATAGGTAGTTTCGCAAACACATTAGGGTAGGGTGCGGTTTGGATTTTATCTAATTTTCGGGTTACGGGTTTGACCCGCACCCACCCAACCCGCCCGCATAATTTTTTTTTTCCTTTTTTTTTTTAATCTAATTATTCAAAAAAAATCTTTTTTTTCCCCTTCAAATCTGATCGTTCAAAAAAAAAAAAAAAACCCTTAATCAAACTCACTCACTCTATCTTCTCTGAAAGTTGGATTGGATAATTCGTGATGAAGTTTGATATTTTAGAAATGTTTTTATTTTATTTCATGGATTTGAATTGAATGAAGTTTGGCAACAATTTTTTTTTTAATTGCATTTTGGTTTTGGATGAATGTAAGTTAATGAATTTTTATTTTTATTTTTATTTATCTTTTTGCATTTTGGATGAATGTAAGTTAATGAAGAATTACTTTCTTTTTCTTTTCTTTTTTGTATTTGGGTTAGGAATGATGAATGTAGGATTTTTTAATTTGGGTTAGGAATGATGAATGTAGGATTTTTTAATTTGGGTTAGGAATGATGAATGTAGGATGTCTTATTGTTGTGCTAAATATTTTCTCATTACTCTATTCCCCTCTTATTGATTGTAGAAAAAGAGTTTAAATGCGTATCTGCACACATATATACGTACACATTGTTCCATCCACTGGGGGGTTAAGATATAGTATATGGGTGAATGCCAATTTTCAGTGTGAAATTCTAAAATTCTATCTAGTGATGTCAAATTGTGGACACATTTATGAATAAGGACAGCCAAACCACACAGTGGGTGGGGTGTTTATGGCGAACCACCCGCCCACTTTAGAAATTCAATGCTTATGATCGTTAAATTGCACTGTTAACATCTACTAGGCGTGTTAAACATGACCTGTACAGATGACTGATGTGGATTTGTTTTTTCAGCTTGCTCGTCTCAACAACCCAATAAACACCCAGTATAGTTGGGCCACAGGCGGCGGCGGCGGTGCCGCCACCAGTGGTGGAGGGAAGACGGTGGGGAGGTGGTTAAAGGACAGGAGAGAGAAGAAGAAAGAAGAAACTAGAGCTCACAATGCACAGCTCCATGCTGCTGTTTCAGTTGCTGGGGTGGCCGCTGCTGTGGCGGCGATTGCCGCTGCCACAGCGGCCTCTTCTGGGTCAGGAAAAGACGAGCATATGACAAAAACCGATATGGCAGTTGCCTCTGCTGCCACTTTGGTGGCTGCCCAATGCGTCGAGGCGGCCGAGGTCATGGGTGCTGAACGCGAGCACCTCACCTCTGTTGTTAGTTCTGCTGTTAATGTCCGGTCTGCTGGAGATATCATGACTTTAACTGCTGCAGCTGCCACAGGTTTGTACGTTTAACGGTTATTTTCGTCTGCATTATGTAAACATATTTTTGTTTCTGACAAAATGTTTATCTGAATTTGGTAATGTTGGTATATTGTTAACTTTTCTCGGAACTATGTTTATGGCTGTTAATTATATTCCTATGTAATGTACTACTATGCATTTTGGAATTGTTGTTGTGTGCATTAATTGTGGTGGGGGATGTAGCTCTGCGTGGGGCAGCCACATTGAAGGCAAGGGCATTGAAGGAGGTCTGGAATATAGCGGCAGTGATTCCTGTGGAGAAAGGAATGGGAGTTAGTGGCGGGGTTGGTAATGGCAGTAATGGTAGTTCAAACGGTAGTTTCAGTGGTGAGCTTGTGCCCGAAGAGAATTTCCTTGGCATTTGCAGTCGGGAGTTACTAGCCCGAGGTTGTGAACTCCTAAAGCGAACTCGCAAAGGTCTGTCTTTCTATTTTTCTCAACTCTTAGAACATATGATCTTGTTGGACTGGTTGTCATGTCTATTATAAACACAAAAATGGGAGGATAATATTGGTTCATTTGTTGATGCAGGCGATCTTCATTGGAAAATAGTGTCGGTTTATATCAACAGAATGGGTCAGGTTTGTTTGCTTTCTCCTTCAACCCCCAATTTTGGTGTTCTAAAAACAGGTGAAGTTTTGTTTTTTGTTATGTTTTTTTACTTAAAAACTTCAGACAATGAATTCTTTTTGTTTGCTTCCAAACAATGAAGGGGAAGGAGGGAACAATATTTCAGCTTTCTCAGTAACCAAAAATGTCCGTAATTACACTTATATACCTCAGATATATAGATAGTATTTATATAGCTGTTTCGCTTTCTTCTATACATAAAGCTGTAATCACCTGTTGGGTATGTTTTCGTGATGAAAAATGTTTGGTGGTCCGAATTGATGTGGCTCAAATATGTCAAAATGACGTATTTGGGTTAGGAATGATGAATGTTTTTTTTTTGTATTTGGGTTAGGAATGATGAATGTAGGATTTTTTAATTTGGGTTAGGAATGATGAATGTAGGATTTTTTAATTTGGGTTAGGAATGATGAATGTAGGATTTTTTAATTTGGGTTAGGAATGATGAATGTAGGATTTTTTAATTTGGGTTAGGAATGATGAATGTAGGATTTTTTAATTTGGGTTAGGAATGATGAATGTAGGATGAATGCAAGTTAATGATGAATGTAGATTTTGAATGATTTGTTTAGGTTACGAATTGAGATGAATGCAAGTTAATGATGAAGGTAGATTTTGAATAATTTATTTAGGTTATGAATTGATTTTGTTGTGTTTTTTATTTTATAAATTTTTTATAAGTTTTAATTCATTAATTATTAATGTTAGAGCATTTTAGAAAATGGGAGGAAAAAGGTCTAAAAGAAATATTGGTAAAAAATGGGGGAAAAAAAGGGTTTAACAAAAAAATTTGAAAAAAAATTCAATCCGCAAACCGCCTGCGCAACCGCGAACCCTATCCACACAAACCGCAAACCGCATTGCGGGCGGTTGCAGGTTGCCTTTTCCTCAAACCATATACATGCGAGCGGGTCCAAACCAAACCGCAAATCATCCCAAATCAAACTACGGACACCACTAGTTGATGGCATAATGTGAAAATTTTTAAGGTTAACTTGATGACATAGGTGTCATTGTGACCAAAGTAACATGAGACAAATTATATAGTCTATTCGTTCCAAAAACTATGCAGTCAGTGTGTAATTTGTCAATTCTTATTTTTGGAAATTTTTTTTTGATAATAAATATTTATATTTAATCCTTAATATTTACTTAAAGAAATTGTATTATATTATCATTATCGATTACAATTTTTTTTTATTTTTTTATGGTTAAGGGTCTCCCATAAAGTAATTTTTTGATTTGATACGTGCGTTGGATTTATAGCGTCGTGGGACAATTTGCTTCCTATCTGTCATTGGTGTTAAAGGGAGAACTGCAGAAGGCCAACTCTAATATGAGAAGACTGGATTGGGCCAACCTATGGTACTGGTTGTTATGCCAATAGCAGCACCGAACAACTAAGTTAGTCTGCAAGAACTGCTGCCCGATAATATTTTGGACAACAAAATTCCAAACCCAAAGCTCACATGGATGGGCCTAATCTAACCCGAAAAGATACACATCAGACCCACACCCCACAATTGGCTCACACAGTGGTGGAGCCGAGAAATTAAGTTAGAGGGGGAATTATTAATTATAATTTTTTATTTAAAAAAAAAATCATGATCAGCATTAAGATAATAATAATTTTATGAGCTAAATTTAAACATGAAAAATTACATATTCATTATTAATAAAAAAAAATCAAAATTCTATAATAGTGTGGAATAGCTCGGTATGGAATGATGATGCAAGTTTGCAATTTTAGCACAAAAATTATAGATCAAAATTCGTAATTTAAAAACATAAAAACAGATCATTTATAGCACAAATTATTATAAATCTATTTAATTTTTATTAGACAAAAAAATATTAAAGAGATGACGTTGATTATAAATAATGTGTTTTGAATGAAAATTATTAAACAGTCTTAGAATACTATATAGCATTGCCTATGTGATGCCCAAAGTATGAAAAATCACAAATCACACTGAGTAGTTTGTCAACTGCCTGAAAATAATAAGTTCAATATACCCAATCTATAAGATTTTTCGCTATACTATTGGTTTAAACTACTACATAAACAATATAACATAATGTTCTTAAAGTATCAAATAAGTACTTATTGTGAACAATACAATAAACCCCTAGTCAAAAAATATGTTAAAAAAAAAAATACATTTTATATATGACAATAATACACACACAAAATATATATATATATATATATATCAAAACTAAGGGGGCACGTGACGCCCTAACCCTTCTTTCCCTCCACCTCTGGGCCCACACCACCTATATATATCATCTCTAATACTTTATCATTTTTTTTATATTTTAAATTGAAGTAAAATTTTTGATTTGATGTAAGTAATTCTAATTTTTTTCATAATTTTTTTAAAAAAATCATCTTATTCTAAATTATTTTCATCAAATTTAATGAGAAATAAAATATCTTCAATACTTTATCTTTTTTAATTTTTATCAAATTCAATTTCATGACGGATTTGATAAATTCTTAATTTGATGCAAAAAATATTTATTCCTTAATTTGATAAGTATTTGATGAAAGAATTATAAATAAAATTTGAATATTTTTTTTATCAAATTTAAATTTAATAAAAAAATGGCAAATTACATTAGTAGCCCCTACATTTTTGCCTTTTATGCCATTTTGATTCCTATAAGTTTAATCACCTAAATTTTGATTATTAATTTTAAATTTTGTGTCAATTTGATTCAATTAATAATGTTGATTAAGATTTATAAAAGAGAATAATTAGTAAGTTGGTTGAGATTAACTTATCAAGTTAAACAATTTTGACTATAAAAACATAACATATGCTGCTTCTTAGGTGTGTTCAAGAATCTAAACAACCCAAAAAAGCCAAACCGCTCAACTCAACAATAAAATTGATCAGCGTGTTTGGTTTTAGTTTTCAGAATTCACTTTTCAAAAAATTCTATTTTTTTGTTTTTCGTATTTTTTTTTAATTTTCACTGAATTTGTTTAATATTTTAAGAATTTTTTTAAAAATTTTAGACACACCTAACATAAATATATTTAAAAAGTATAATATTTGTGAAAAAAATCTTTAAAAAAAAATACTAAATACCAAAAATATATTTTAAAAAATAAAAATTCAATGCATTTTTTTGGTATTTTTGTGTTTTTATTAATTTTTAAAAATATTTTTTCACAAATATTTTACTAGTTAAATACATCTAAGTAAGGTGCATCTAAAAAAATATTTAAAAAATGCTTAAAATTTTAAAGATATTCACTAAAAACAAAAAATACGAAAAATAAAAAACTGAATTCAGAAAACTAAAACAAAACACACTGGATGGTTTTGCCCAGTTATTCAGGCAATTGCATCCCTATTTTACATTTTTTTCCTATTTTCGATCAAATGGCGGGCTTAACACAAAAGAACCTGCCAAATCCAATCCGACCGAATTAATTATATATGACTATAGTTGTGTTGTATTTAAGGTTGCAAATGAACAGAGCCGTTCGTGAACAGGCTTGGGCTTGACTCAGTAAGAGCTCATTCGAACTCAGTGTAGTAAAATTTTTTTGCGTTCGAGCTCGAACTCGTTAAATTTTAATAAATAAGCCCAAACATTCTAAAGTTCGACTCGTAAACTCGGCTCATTAGTTAGCTCGTTTAATATTTATTATTTTATATATTAAATAATGTAAAAATATGAATAAAAATAAGATAAATTGTTATTTATATATTTAAAAAATATAAATATAAATAATAGTTAGCTATAAATAGTACATTTATATAACAATAGTAGTAGATATTATTATTTTGATAAAATATTATTTTTTTTTAGAATGTTCATATATATTGTATATATATAATTGTATAATGAAAGTTTTAATTGTAACTTTAGTTTCATACGTAAATATGAATTTATAAAAGTTTTGACTCGTTAATACTCGTGAACAGACTCGAACTCAAGTCAAGTCTAAGCCAACTGGGCTTGAGATCGGTTCGTTAAATTTTTATTGAGCTTGAACTCGAGTTGGAGTTCATTAAAATCTTAATAAAAAAGCCTAACATACTAAAGTTCGGCTCAGCTCGGTTTGTTTGCAGCTCTAGTTATATTCATTGCTTTTCTTGGTAATTTAAACTTTGCTTGCCTTGGGTGATAAAACTCATTTATGAATAAGCTCCTCTCTATATTTGCATATCTTTATATTTATCTATATTTTTTTGTGAGTCTAAATTCGGACTTGCATCGATAATTTGAACCGTCTATTTTGTAAATTTTGTAATAAAGATCATCCATATACAAAATTAATTTTATTGGACATCTATAAATATAAAAACAAATCACATTTTCCTTTATAAAATGAATAGTAAATAATATTGTAAACATAAATCATTCATTTTGTAAAATAAAACATGATTTGTTTATGTATTTATAGTTGTCTAATAAATCTAATTTGAAGTAGGCATTTTTTATCATAAAAGTGAGTCCGAATTAAGACTTACAATAAAAGTATAAATAGATAAAATATGGAGGGAAACTCCTCCCGGATAGATATAGCCTATCTGACATATACGTTGACATATATCTTGTCAAGGAAAATATTTTCTTTCAAGACAAAGTTTTCCCTTTTCCAACAAGAAGTTATTGGTTGGTCCAGGGTAACGTCACGTGACACTCCACATGTATTGTTATTGATGGAGGGAGTGGACTCCATAATTTTGTGTTAGGTGATTAGAAAATATGAAGGGGTATAAGGGTCTGTAATTAGCCTGAGACATGACCATGTGGTGCTGCAGAACCAACCAATAATTTTTCCTTTCTAACACTAAGATGATCAGACCTTTTACAGTCTTATCTCATCCCATCCACCCCACCCACTCACTCTTTCAACTTTCTTTCTTTTTTTTTATGTTTTTAACAGATTCATCTCTCTTTCCTCGAGCCATTTATCTTATTCTCTTTCATCCTACACACTCTCTCTCACAAATCTTTCATTTTTCCTATTTCTCTCTTACAGCTCTCATTTGGGATAAAAAAAAATTTAGTCAGACTTTCTAGCTATTTGACTATTTTAACCTAACTAAAAATA